GGGCTGCTCGAAGTCGTCTCCGCACAGGGCCGCGTTGATGATGCCTGTGGGTGCCCATACAGTGGCTCCCCAGACCGCCGAGTAAATCTCCCCCGACTTGCCAGCCTGGAGCATGTCCGAGGCGTCCTTGAAGCCCTCGACCTTGATGGTCTTGACCTTGCCGGCTCTGAAGAGGTCGGCACACTTATCGACAACTGCCTGTCCCGGCTCGTCGTTGTCCATCCACAGGATGATCTCATCGAAGCGGTCGAGCCAGCGGTAGTTCGCCTTGAGGCTCTTCATCGCGGACTCGGCCCCTTGGACGATGGACACCACCGGGACCTTGAACTTCATGGCCTGCGCAACGGACATGGCATCAAGTTCGCCTTCCGTCACCACCACCTTCTTGTCGTGCTTCTCACCCCACACGTGTTGACCGAAGAGCTGGAGGTCGGTGGTCTTGGGGGCTCCATCCGACACTGGGTCGAACCAGAAGGCTTTGTCCTTGTCGCGGCGCTTTTGGTAGGCAAGCTGGCCGTTCTGCCCGAAGTAGGGGGCGATGTGATGGAACTCGCCTCGCTCCTTGTGGACGAAGTATCCGTACTTCTGGAGGGTCTCCCGGTCTATGCCTCGGGACTTCAAGCCTTCCTGCATGTGGTCCATGGTGAAGGGGATTGCGTTCGCGGTATCGCTCACGGTCTTAGTCTTCCTCTTCGCTTGGGCGGGGAGGTGGGTGTCTGGGTCGAGAGGGGACTTCTTTCCGCAACCCGGAGTGAAGCAGTATCGGTGAAGGTCTTTGAAGGTAACGAGGTTATCGTCCGACCCACAGTCAGGACATGGACCCTTTGAGAGGACCTCCCGTGACAGGTCGTCGTAGTCGGACATCTAGTCCTCCGAGACTTTAAGACTTACTCTGGTCCACTCACAGTCCTCAGCCATGAACCACTTGTCAGCTTCCTTGAGGCGGACCTTCTGGCTGCCGTCGGGCTCGATCACGGAGGCATCCACGATGTCCGTTAAACCGCTCTGTTCGTGATGAACCTGGTCACCAATCTTCAGCATGGTTTGATCCTCGTAGTCGCGTCATTACGCTTGTAGATGACCTTCACGTGGGTAGGGATGTCCTCGCCAAGGCGCTCACGGATCACCGGGATGGAGAAGTGCTCGAAGTAGAACACCTCGTATCCTTCAGGGGGTCTGGTGAGACAGCCGAGGGCCGAGAGGCGGAAGTACCGCTCCTCCTTCTCCCGCTCCCATGATGGGGTCCCTCGGTAGGGTTCCTTGAGGGCGGCTTCGAGTTCGGACTCCTGGTCCCGGTACAGGGGCAGAAGCGCCATGTCTCGGATCACGATGTAGTCGAAGTCGTAGACCACAGCGGTCTCAAGGAGGCCGGGGCTTTCGTGGAGCACGGAGGAGAAGATGGCCGTTTTGGTGGCCCACTCGTAGTCGCCCAGCTCAAAGTGCGTGAAGGTCGGAAACACCAGAGCGTGTTGGGCGGCTAGGGAAAACTGGACGGGATCATTCTCGACCCCGAACCGTATGGCGTCGTCCTGCCGCTCTCCGATGGCCTTGAGTATAGACCCATCACCACACCCGAAGTCTACGTAGAGCCGGGTCTTGATGTGGTCGAGGAAGAAGAGCTTGCAGGGGAGGGACTTGGAGAGTTCCTCGTTGTAGGTCTCGTGGTCCTGGATGGGGGACATCTAGTCCTGCTCGATCCAGTACCGCTTGTAGCGTTTCTCGAAGTGATCCTCGGCCCACTCGTCGTTGATCTCCAGGCCCATCTTGCGGAGCCCAGCGATGCGGGCCGTGAGGGAGCCGACACCGAGGGACACGATGGCGATCATGTTGGTGAGCGTCTTGCCCTTCTGGAGGTACTCGTAGACGAGCGACTCCTGAGGGTTGAGCTTGGCG